AGTAAGTTCATATACAAGTATGTTCAGTTTCGTATACTTTGAGACCAGTGCCTCAAACAAATGTATCAGTTGAATTGTTCACAACTGTGTGGAATGCCAGAAGACAAAATACTGTATTTAGACACTAAAACGAATCACTTATTATGCTTTAATCCTTTATATCCAGTAATCAAAAGGATGTGAAGCTTGGGTTTATTTTCAATAAATGTCTGGAAGTGTCATTTTAAACCTATTAAACTGCAGAACATAAAATGCTGATCCTTAAAAGAGGATTTATCACTTGTCCATGACTATAAACTTAATATGCATGGATTTCTTTCCCCTGCTAAAATGAACCAAATACTGCTGAACGGAGCTTTAGGAAATACGCTTTTTAAAAACATCTTAAACTATGATAAAATGACCGTTAGTTGCAGGTCAAATCATGATTCAAGATCTTTCCTCTTTAAAAACATCCAATGACAAAAACTGTGGAGTGCCGAGCAGCTGCAGGGTCCAGTTCAAGGCATCTCGAATGTAACAGTCAGGAAATGAAACATGACATGAACAGTGGATAATTTGATGAGTGCAAATGAGTTTGCAATACTCTGATAGAACAAGTTGAAGTTGATGAGACATCTGTCTGAACCGACCTTGTTTCCATAGAGCCGTCTCTCGCACACACACAGTCTCACTCATTCACACACAAACAGTTGCCTCAAGGATGTCTTTTAACCATTGTAGACAAGAGAGGAAATTGAAAGAGGGGAAAAGGCAGTTTCGGGAAGAATGGAAGATCTGCAGCAGCTGCAAGATGACAGACCGAACTAACTCTGAGACAAGATCTCTGCATTGAGATAATTGGACTTAAGGGCTCGAGACTCTGAGACGAGATACTGGAAGCCAACTTTAGCAATGACTACATCTCTTTACTCCCAAACCTTTTTACAGTATTTTTCATGTAAATTACTTCATCATTCACTCAAGGTATGATGCTTTTCTTCTGCCTGACAATTTAATGTAGAGTCAGAGATTTAAAACCAGGGCTAAGACCCACTGAACAATAAACACACTCTATACTGACTGACACATTCAACAGTCAACAAAAGTAGTGTGAAAGTATGTTATTCATTCCAACTGCAGCAAAATCCCAAACAAGGTCCTGAACATTCATCAATACAGA